TGACTTTGTTATACCATTATCATTAATGCAAAGTACAATTCATGGATAGTACATTAAATATCAATCCCAGTAGAACTGAGAATAATGTGTATAATATTTTCTCAATTTTGGCCACAGTATGGATTCCTGACCTACGAGGCAGAGGAATCCAAGAAGCTGTTCTTCCACATGACGGAGGTCCACGATGGGGTTGAACTTCAGCCAGGTGATGAGGTCGAGTTTGTGGTTGTCCAGAATCAACGTAATGGAAAATACTCGGCCTGTAGTCTGAGGAAGATCTGGTGAGCGGTGAAATTCTTATAACAAAAATTATTTAGTTGGTGTTGTGTTCAATGTGTATAGTAGTATTAAATATGTGGACTTATTAGTTTTGAACATATTCTCTACATTTAAGATATTTCTGATAAATGTGTCTATAAATTAGTGAAGGAAAATAATTTTTATCTTTCATCTTGGTGTTCCAGTGAAACAAGACGCCCTGAACGCCTTCTTAGTCGCTTGAAGAGTNTGATTTAGTTGGTGTTGTGGTCAATGTGTATAGTAGTATTAAATATGTGGACTTATTAGTTTTGAACATATTCTCTACATTTAAGATATTTCTGATAAATGTGTCTATAAATTAGTGAAGGAAAATAATTTTTATCTTTCATCTTGGTGTTCCAGTGAAACAAGACGCCCTGAACGCCTTCTTAGTCGCTTGAAGAGTGTCTCTGAAGACTCTGGTCAGAGAGTCACTGTGGTACGTCAACCCAAGGGTCCGGATGGCACAAAGGGCTTCAAGCAACAGAGAGTGAAATGGACAAGCCCTGTGTAACATACATGCACTATCATAGCAACAGTCCAAAAAGAAACTTATGTATATTTTGTTTCATTTTTATGGTTATTTGTCTAGGTTTTTTTGTGTTGATTTTGTATCTCAGACATGTTTTCATAAATATTGTTTTGTCATGAAACTAAACATTTACTCAGTTATAAGATAAGATGAGAAGAAAGCACAGCATGAAAAAAGTTTTTTTTTATAAAATTTTGTAAAAAGTCAGGTCCATAGAGTCAGTGTTTGCAATACCATTGTAATGAATCTCTTTTACACTAGGCAAAGAGTTTTTCTTGTGTGGAATCTATAGCTGAAGATGTGTAAAACAGTTTTAACTTTTCTGCCCTAGACGGTCTAAGCGTACAACAACTCCAGTGTGCTTTAAGAAAAACATCATATTGAATATTGACAAAATATTGAAAGAGAACTAAAACTAGAAATTATGCTAACATGAAAACATCTGCCTGTTGGAAAATGCAGTTGCTTCTGAAAGCCCCAGGTGTGCCGAATTTCTGTTTGGTCTGATCTGGTTTACGTGATTTTTCAGCATATTGAATATTGTGTTGAAATCTTGTTGGTATGTTCTCTTAAAATGCATACCTTAATCCTGAAATGCTGTTGAAACAAAAGGCAATACAAATGGAATATAATATATGCTGAATGTGATTGTATGTCATTCTATGTTAAATGTTTATACGGAAATTATTTACTTCTCTTTGTCAGTTCAAATGACATTAAGGACTGAGAGAGCTGTAAGAAAATACACACACAATATGGTGCTATTATATGTGGTCTTGTCCATCTGTGATTAGAATTGTCAAAAATTACAGGCGTGCTTTAGAGTTAAGACATACAAGTAATAGTAGTCCAGTCTCAGCAAGCAGCAGTGAGACATTTGGTGCACTTAAGTGTTTTCATATGGCTATATAGTGCAAGTTATAACCGGGATTAGCTGATACTAGATGAATATAAAAACTATTAAAGACATGCATTCCATGTATGACATAGTGCACTAGCCTGTTATCTCACAAGAAATATTTGTTAATCTTTAATTTGTGATAAGGTGAATTATTCACATAAAGGAAATATTAATACACTTATCAACCAAGAGATATTAGACCCCAGTAATATGGGATATTGGACTGTTGCTATGGTTACATGAGTTGAACACAGTTGACCCCCATGATCAGCTTTAGTTGAAATGAAAACCTGTGTACTAACCAGTTCTTTATGGTACATTAATTATTAATTATTGTAATGTTATTTTCATTTACCTTTTTTTAAACTAATTTTGCTTGCCTCAAGTTCAGTGTGCAATATTCTTTCTGATGATCCTCCTTGTTAGGTGGCCTTCCTTCTTCATCTTTATAAGAAGTGGGCTTTCTGTTGGCTGGTAACAAATATCTGATATTTGAACTATGTATTGGTTGTTTTCAAGTCCAATGTGTACTAGACAGATGCTTTTTTCTGGCCAAAGCTTCTAATTTGTCACCAAATTCTTAGAGGATTAATGTATTTTTTCTTAACAAGCTCTCTTTCCCGTCATCCATGTCTCCAGATTTATTAACATCTTACCAGTTGCTTTGATTTGAAAAAAAAAGAAAGGAAAAAAAAAAGGAATTCATCAAAATAACTGTCCTAAACACCACTGCTGGGAGTCTGTTGTTGGTATTGGACCTGGGTCTGTTATCAAGTCAGTGCAGATCACATTTGATCATGATGGAACCCAGGGTGGGTGATAGGTGCATTTTATCAGTGGTAGGACAAGATGAGCTAGCTGTTATGTTCACCAGCATTGAATAAACAATGTTGAAACCAAAGTTTTGTTTATTCTTTTACTTTCACAAGCATGGAATGAGTTGGGCTTGAAAGTATGGGATTTTATAAATTTATACAAATATTGCCGTTTTCAGTCTCCCAACTTTACCCAAAGATCTGTTTTGAGAATTGCCAAATCTTTTAGTCACCGTATTTTAATTTCTTGCCAAAAATGTCTTCATACCCAAAAACAAAGAGGTGGGGAGGGCAACCTGTGCAAATAAAGGGTCGATTGACCCATTGTATATCAATTCAATATTGTGATACTTATGGGCGGCCAAAAGGGCAAAAATTTATGTCGTCGATTCAGTTATGTTTCGTCGATTCACTGCCTTCCCATCGATTCAGGTTCAAGTTTAAACGATCATGTCATAAATTCAACATCTACTTTTGTCAATTCAGTTGTCAAACATTTCTCATCTATGGTGTATTAAAACCAATGCTGTCACTATTTTCGTCGATCGTGTAACTAATCTCGTCGATCGTCAAACTGTTTTCGTCGATCGTGTAACTATTCTCGTCGATCGTCTAATCTCGTCGATCGTGTAACTATTCTCATCGATCGTCTCATCGATCGATCGCCAGAGGGCGCTGCGGTAGCAACACGTGCTTCTGTCTGTCAATCACGCGGTAATTTTTAACTCAGCCAGCCATGGTCAGAGTTAAGCACAACTAGAAAATAATGTCCCTACAACCGAATATCTTTTAATTATTAACAACTAAAATTGAAATTGTTGAGAAAATGTTCTTATTTCACTAGCAATCATTTTGTTGTCTGCCATTTTGATAGTCATGTGATAGGCCAATGTGCTACCGCAGCGCCCTCTGGCGATCGATCGATGAGACGATCGACGAGAATAGACGATCGATGAGAATGGTTACACGATCGACGAGATTAGTTGGACGATCGACGAGATTAGACGATCGACGAGAATAGTTACACGATCGACGAAAATAGTGACAGCATTGGTTTTAATACACAGTAGATGAGAAATGTTTGACAATTGAATTGACGAAATTTATGACAGGATCGTTGAATTTATGACAGGATCGTTTAAACTTGAAACTGAATCGATGGGAAGGCAGTGAATCGACGAAACATAACTGAATCGACGACATGATTTTTTGCCCTTTTGGCCGCCCATAGATACTTGATATTGAGATTCAATATATGAAAAACAGGCCTAGAAAGTTTAACTAAGAAACTCATTTTATTTACCATGCAACATGCTTCACAAATGAGGGCATTGAACATGAATTAATATGAAGTGTCACCACCTATGTGCCACCCTCTACCAAGGTCAAATTGATCTTTCACCAGATATTTACCAAAAGATCTCCATCTATTTCATGACTCGACTTTCAATCTGCAGAAAAATGCTCATAATAACATAATCTGCTGCACTGGTAGAGAGTATATGTCAACAGTAGTAAGTGGTAGATATCATTACCTGTGCAAAACCAAATAAATGTAATTTTTTACAATAAATAAATTAAATAATAATAATGATAATAATAATAAAGCAAATAAAAATATCAAGGCAAGATTTTTTTGCCATACAAAATATTTCTCATTTTTTTGATTTAGCTATATGCATATATGAGAATGTTTCTAAAATGCTGCAAAAGACCTATTTCATATAACCAGTTTTATTTTAATACCAGCTGTAATATAAATGTAAGTTATACATAACGGTGTCAGAGTATCCTGTGGAAGATTATAAGAATTTCACATGTTAACCATTTCCTTAATTCAATTGCATAAAAATACAAAGGCACATTTACTGAATTATTTTACTACTTAAAAACTTACAGGAGGAACTTGTCACATAAAACACATAACATAAAATGTACAACTAATATAATTTCAGTTAATTTTAATCTACACTGGTTCTATAGTTAATTGCACAACAAATCAACTAAGGCCCCATTCAGAATAGGGGACTAACTAGTCCGAGGGTTAAATATGGCTGACCCACTTGAATACTTCCCCACAGGATATCTATTCAGTGTCTATTAATGGATTAGACAGCAAGTGAAGTGGGCTGCCATATTTAACCCTCAGACTAGTTAGTCTCCTATTCTGAATAGGGCCTAAAGCAATATCTGCTTCAAATCCAAAAATACCCACCCCCTTGAAAAGGGAGAGTTAAACTACCATTACGCTAGCAACATCACTATTCTTCTTTTAATGATTCATTCAAAGTGGACACATTTCCATAACTGTCTCTAATCTTTTCAGTCCTTTCACCTGGCNCAACTTTGTCACTTTAGTAACATTCCTCTCACTCTTCATCCTTTATCCACCAAATTAAAACAAAAAGTAAACAAGTGAAATGTTATATTTCCCTGTCTTTCCTTCCCCCAGGGTAAGGAAGTAGCTGTAGATATCAGGCACCTGGCGGAAGGCACTGTCATATTTGAAGATGTCAGTCTGGAAACTACCAAAGGGAAAATTCAGAAAACGCTGAAGAACTCGCACAACCGAAGGCAGAGTGATCCTCTCGCGGGCAGGATAGTGTACCAAGCTAAAACTGGGTACGTGGGTGTTCCTCTGGTTACTTTTTGACTGTTTGGAAAAGTTAAGTAAAAAAAAATGCTTGGAGTAAGAAGGAGGGAGTTGTCAGCAAAAAGGTTGGAACAAAAATTAAGTTTTTTCGGGAAGGCAATTGATCTCAAAATTAAAAATATAATTGTTTTTATTTCCAGGCTAGTTGAGATTCCCTTGTAATGTTTGATTACATTTCTAGGCCATCCCTATGCAACTTAATTTTATTTCATTTCTAGGTCAGTTGAGATCCTCTATATAATATTTTATTTCATATCTAGGTCAGTCGAGATCCCCTATGGAGACAAGGACCAGAAGGGTGATTACACGTTGCAGTGTGGGGACTTAGTTGAATTTAACATTGCAACAGACAGAAGAGATAAACTGCAAAGAGGAACTAACATCAGACTTCTGGAAGAAACATTTAAAGTGAATGCTGAAAAGAGGGAGTATGTAAGTATCATATTTTTTTCGGGCAGCCATGTTCAAACAGAACTTTACTAATTGTTTTGTGGGAAGTAAGATTTGTATGGTTCTTACCACACAAATGGGCATTGTAGGTTTAGGGTGTTATATGTAAAGGTGAATTGAAATTGTGACTTAAAAAATATTTGTTTTGCTGATATATCTCTTACATGAATATTGCCTTTCTCTTTCCAGGGTGTTGTAGTGACATTGAAGGAAGGGTATGGTTTTATCAAATGTGCAGACAGAGATGCACGCATGTTCTTCCACTTCAGTGAGCGTCTGGATCCTGACTCGGAAATAAATTTACAAGATGAGACAGAATTTACTGTCATTCAGGTATGTAGCTGTAGGCTGTTTTGTTAGGTCTTCATGTTTTGGAGAGGAGAAGGGATAGGTTGAGATCACTGGAGATGGGACATTTTTGAAGAAGTTTTATTGCATTATTTATTTCACGGAGAGAATCTTTTTAGAGAGCCTTGATTGGATAAAGATACTTTTGTAGTTACTCTCACATATACTAAGTGTCCTCGTCTGAACTTGTGTCTTTTTACACACTTACAAAATGTATTTCTTTGCTAGGATCCCAGCTCACCAAGTCGTCATATTGCCATTCGAATCAAGCAACTACCAAAAGGAACAATTTCATTTGAGAGCGTCTCTAAGGATAAATACATAGGTGTTGTGGAGAAGGAACCAGCAACACACAAAAGTCCAAGTAAGTGACTTTTTAAGGACATGAATGTTCTTCAGCTTAAGCGCCATCATTGGATGTTCTTTTCACATCTTTGTTTAAGATCAGATGTTAACACCTAGCTGTAGTAGTATGTAATGTGTTTTGTGTAATTGACTTTTATTGAATTATGACAACTATTTTGTTTCAGGTAAAAATAAAGAAGCAAACGACTTGTTTGGTCTGATAAGCTATGAACACAATGGAACAAAGCAGACAATCTCTTACCTCCTCAAGTCTATTACTGACATGAGGAACATACCAAAGTATGGGGATAAGGTAGGTGTAAATATGGAACATACCAAAGTATGGGGATAAGGTAAATTAGAGCGCCGATTCTGAATGTGTATTATTTATATTGCAAGTGGATTGAGAATGTAAAATTGTTAAATATAAGTGTAATATTAAAGAAGAACCTGCATTTAATGTTTTATATCCTGGGTAAGCAGAAGCATATCTGCATGTTTTCACAGCATTGACTTGTGTTTAATATTGACAAATAAAGATGTGGCGAATATTGTTATGCTTTCCAGGTGGAATTTCATATCTCCGAAGTAAAACGCAACAGTAGCAGGACAGCTGTGAACATCAGGGTTCTCAGTCGCAACAGCACACCAAGACAACAGGGTTTTATTGCAACTCTCAAAGATAACTTTGGATTCATTGAAAATGCAGAACATGACAGAGAAATTTTCTTTCATTACAGGTACAGTATGTAGATAACGATGAATGAAATTAGGACATTCCTGTTTGTATGTTAAATATTAGCTATATCATTGAATTGAATACAGGATGAAGCATATGAAACACATTTCATTAGTTAAGTAAGGTAACAAAATTTAAACCACCATGTTGTTGACTTTATAGTTTTCCTGAAATATAAGAAAGGGAAACAAAAAACTAATAATAGATCACTTTCAAAATTTCAGTGCTGTGGAAGGCGACCCTTGTGATTTGGACCTTGGAGATGAGGTTGAGTTTGTGATCACAAAGAAGAGCACCAAAGTCAGTGCAGAAAACATCAGAAAGCTCCCCAAGGGAACAGTAGCTGTGGTGGTTAGTCTGCATTTGATTTGTAGTAAATTAATATATGATGGTTTTCATGGCAATCTGCAGTGATATTTTTACATTTTGTGTATATTCATTTGCAAATTTTATTTATTTGTAATTTTTTACTTTAATGAAAAAAGTGTATCACAGTTAACTCAGACATTAAATTCAAATGGAATGGTTTCAGACTGTTGAGGGATGCATCTTTGCCAGATTTAAAGTAAATTGCTCTATGTAAATTTCCCCTGTATTTCTCCACAAGGCAAATCAACCTGGGATGAAAAGAGGGAAAATAATACGTCCAATGAGAATTGTCAACCCAGACCAGGATGAGTATTGTGGAATAGTACAAGTTGGAACAGATGGTGAGAGTTCATTTCGGTTAAAATGTTCTGTGTTTAAATGTACTTCTAAGGGGTGGTTGGGGGGAAAGTTAGGATACATCTGATTGTGGGGGTTGGGATGATATAGTTATGGCTGATTGTGTGTGTGTGTGTGTGTGGGGGGGGGGGGTTGGACTAGGTAGTTACAGATGCTGCTGCACACATGAGTACACACTGATGCTGATTCTATCCATGATTGGGAAATATTTTAACAGTATGTCATTTAACAAGTTTTTAAAATTTTAACCTGACAACACTGCTAGGACATTTCCCCCTAATTTCCACTCCTTCCACAGATGATCCGTCTGCAGAGAAGTATCCCTATGGCATTACCAGCCTGGCTGATAAGAGAGACTTCCTACAGAAGGGAGACATCGTCAAGTTTCAGATTTGTACCGTGAAGGGGACAAACAAAAAGATGGCCACCAATGTGGCAGCTGAGAGGAAATACATCCGCGCCCATGTCGACTCAGTCAAGGGACAGGTGAGACATTGTATTTAAACTCATTTGGGTCAATATTAAGATGGTCATGCTTACATAGTAGCATATAATGGAATTTTGTAGCACTGTGTGAAGTCTGGCACCTGAGCTCAGTGAGGCTTATAAGACTGTTTAAACATACTGTTTATTTAAAATTTCCTCTCAATTCTAATCTGAATGGATTATGGTTACTGGACTTTTTTTGGCAAATGGGAAATTGCAGCCATTATTAGAATCACACGCTGTGACTTTGTTATACCATTATCATTAATGCAAAGTACAATTCATGGATAGTACATTAAATATCAATCCCAGTAGAACTGAGAATAATGTGTATAATATTTTCTCAATTTTGGCCACAGTATGGATTCCTGACCTACGAGGCAGAGGAATCCAAGAAGCTGTTCTTCCACATGACGGAGGTCCACGATGGGGTTGAACTTCAGCCAGGTGATGAGGTCGAGTTTGTGGTTGTCCAGAATCAACGTAATGGAAAATACTCGGCCTGTAGTCTGAGGAAGATCTGGTGAGCGGTGAAATTCTTATAACAAAAATTATTTAGTTGGTGTTGTGTTCAATGTGTATAGTAGTATTAAATATGTGGACTTATTAGTTTTGAACATATTCTCTACATTTAAGATATTTCTGATAAATGTGTCTATAAATTAGTGAAGGAAAATAATTTTTATCTTTCATCTTGGTGTTCCAGTGAAACAAGACGCCCTGAACGCCTTCTTAGTCGCTTGAAGAGTGTCTCTGAAGACTCTGGTCAGCGAGTCACTGTGGTACGTCAACCCAAGGGTCCGGATGGCACAAAGGGCTTCAAGCAACAGAGAGTGAAATGGACAAGCCCTGTGTAACATACATGCACTATCATAGCAACAGTCCAAAAAGAAACTTATGTATATTTTGTTTCATTTTTATGGTTATTTGTCTAGGTTTTTTTGTGTTGATTTTGTATCTCAGACATGTTTTCATAAATATTGTTTTGTCATGAAACTAAACATTTACTCAGTTATAAGATAAGATGAGAAGAAAGCACAGCATGAAAAAAGTTTTTTTTTTTTTATAAAATTTTGTAAAAAGTCAGGTCCATAGAGTCAGTGTTTGCAATACCATTGTAATGAATCTCTTTTACACTAGGCAAAGAGTTTTTCTTGTGTGGAATCTATAGCTGAAGATGTGTAAAACAGTTTTAACTTTTCTGCCCTAGACGGTCTAAGCGTACAACAACTCCAGTGTGCTTTAAGAAAAACATCATATTGAATATTGACAAAATATTGAAAGAGAACTAAAACTAGAAATTATGCTAACATGAAAACATCTGCCTGTTGGAAAATGCAGTTGCTTCTGAAAGCCCCAGGTGTGCCGAATTTCTGTTTGGTCTGATCTGGTTTTAGTGATTTTTCAGCATATTGAATATTGTGTTTAAATCTTGTTGGTATGTTCTTTTGAAATGCATACCTTAATCCTGAAATGCTGTTGAAACAAAAGGCAATACAAATGGAATATAATATATGCTGAATGTGATTGTATGTCATTCTATGTTAAATGTTTATACGGAAATTATTTACTTCTCTTTGTCAGTTCAAATGACATTAAGGACTGAGAGAGCTGTAAGAAAATACACACACAATATGGTGCTATTATATGTGGTCTTGTCCATCTGTGATTAGAATTGTCAAAAATTACAGGCGTGCTTTAGAGTTAAGACATACAAGTAATAGTAGTCCAGTCTCAGCAAGCAGCAGTGAGACATTTGGTGCACTTAAGTGTTTTCATATGGCTATATAGTGCAAGTTATAACCGGGATTAGCTGATACTAGATGAATATAAAAACTATTAAAGACATGCATTCCATGTATGACATAGTGCACTAGCCTGTTATCTCACAAGAAATATTTGTTAATCTTTAATTTGTGATAAGGTGAATTATTCACATAAAGGAAATATTAATACACTTATCAACCAAGAGATATTAGACCCCAGTAATATGGGATATTGGACTGTTGCTATGGTTACATGAGTTGAACACAGTTGACCCCCATGATCAGCTTTAGTTGAAATGAAAACCTGTGTACTAACCAGTTCTTTATGGTACATTAATTATTAATTATTGTAATGTTATTTTCATTTACCTTTTTTTAAACTAATTTTGCTTGCCTCAAGTTCAGTGTGCAATATTCTTTCTGATGATCCTCCTTGTTAGGTGGCCTTCCTTCTTCATCTTTATAAGAAGTGGGCTTTCTGTTGGCTGGTAACAAATATCTGATATTTGAACTATGTATTGGTTGTATTCAAGTCCAATGTGTAGAAGACAGATGCTTTTTTCTGGCCAAAGCTTCTAATTTGTCACCAAATTCTTAGAGGATTAATGTATTTTTTCTTGACAAGCTCTCTTCCCCGTCATCCATGTCTCCGGATTTATTAACATTTTACCAGTTGCTTTGATTTGAAAAAGAAAGGAAAAAAAAAGGAATTCATCAAAATAACTGTCCTAAACACCACTGCTGGGAGTCTGTTGTTGGTATTGGACCTGGGTCTGTTATCAAATCAGTGCAGATCACATTTGATAGTGATGGCACCCAGGGTGGGTGATAGGTGCATTTTTTCAGTGGTAGGACAAGATGAGCTAGCTGTTATGTTCACCAGCATTGAATAAACAATGTTGAAACCAAAGTTTTGTTTATTCTTTTACTTTCACAAGCATGGAATGAGTTGGGCTTGAAAGTATGGGATTTTATAAATTTATACAAATATTGGCGTTTTCAGTCTCCCAACTTTACCCAAAGATCTGTTTTGAGAATTGCCAAATCTTTTAGTCACCGTATTTTAATTTCTTGCCAAAAATGTCTTCATACCCAAAAACAAAGAGGTGGGGAGGGCAACCTGTGCAAATAAAAGGTCGATTTACCCATTGTATATCAATTCAATATTGTGATACTTGATATTGAGATTCAATATATGAAAAACAGGCCTAGAAAGTTTAACTAAGAAACTCATTTTATTTACCATGCAACATGCTTCACAAATGAGGGCATTGAACATGAATTAATATAAACTGTCACCACCTATGTGCCACCCTCTACCAAGGTCAAATTGATCTTTCACCAGATATTTACCAAAAGATCTCCATCTATTTCATGACTCGACTTTCAATCTGCAGAAAAATGCTCATAATAACATAATCTGCTGCACTGGTAGAGAGTATATGTCAACAGTAGTAAGTGGTAGATATCATTACCTGTGCAAAACCAAATAAATGTAATTTTTTACAATAAATAAATTAAATAATAATAATGATAATAAAGCAAATAAAAATATCAAGGCAAGATTTTTTTGCCATACAAAATATTTCTCATTTTTTTTATTTAGCTATATGCATATATGAGAATGTTTCTAAAATGCTGCAAAAGACCGATTTCATATAACCAGTTTTATTTTAATACCAGCTGTAATATAAATGTAAGTTATACATAACGGTGTCAGAGTATCCTGTGGAAGATGATAAGAATTTCACATATTAACCATTTCCTTAATTCAATTGCATAAGAATACAAAGGCACATTTATTGAATTATTTTACTACTTAAAAACTTACAGGAGGAACTTGTCACATAAAACACATAACATAAAATGTACAACTAATATAATTTCAGTTAATTTTAATCTACACTGGTTCTATAGTTAATTGCACAACAAATCAACTAAGGCCCCATTCAGAATAGGGGACTAACTAGTCCGAGGGTTAAATATGGCTGACCCACTTGAATACTTCCCCACAGGATATCTATTCAGTGTCTATTAATGGATTAGACAGCAAGTGAAGTGGGCTGCCATATTTAACCCTCAGACTAGTTAGTCTCCTATTCTGAATAGGGCCTAAAGCAATATCTGCTTCAAATCCAAAAATACCCACCCCCTTGAAAAGGGAGAGTTAAACTACCATTACGCTAGCAACATCACTATTCTTCTTTTAATGATTCATTCAAAGTGGACACATTTCCATAACTGTCTCTAATCTTTTCAGTCCTTTCACCTGGCCCTGGGCTAAACAATTCTGTTATTTTGCTGAACACGTAACTGAAGCCCTTCACAAGAAGATAAAGTGTCACAACTATAATAAGTGCAAGCAGTCCTAAAACAACCAGTGCCATTAAGGTGGACAATTCATACAGTTGTGCTGCCATGACGTGAGTATACTGATAATCTCCAAATAACACCCAACAATGCCCAATTAACTACTATTAAAAAAACTCCCTGAGATAAAAAAAATAGAGTTATAAAAGACAGTCAACTGTCTATTCAGGCTTTGCAAATATTTCTCTCTAAGTGACCAGAACATTCAACAAAATCCTTAAAAGGTGACTAGGGGTTGTTTGCTTTCTGGTTAAATGACTAGTCAGTACATTGCATCTTTCTCTTCCTTGTTCAGGAAGTAGATTCTCACATCTCCTTTGGCAGTGTGAACATCTTCATGGTGGCTTATCAGCATCCAGGAAGCAAGGCCATAGGCAAGAGTCGGAACCCCTGTAATAAAACAAAAGGACATTGTATCACTTATCTTCCATCATGGTAATTCTTTTCAACAGTACACCTTTGCAAGGCAACCAAGTTTAGTTCTGCATTTTATTTTCATTCTAAAAAGCTTCAATTTTTAGAAAGATAGAAAATACAGTGTCAATATAACATGGGTTAAACAAAAACCAAATGACAGTGTACACTGTGGAAATAAAACAAATGAATCAAAAGCCAAAGCCATATTTGTCAAAACATGTTCAATACCTAAGTTGATCACTTTAAGAAAAGTGAAGCAAGTATTCTCTAGCCTGAGATCTGCGTACGGCCTCTTTGTACAGTGGTACTTGATGAAAGGGAAACAGCCAGTCCTCAGAATGTGGTAATTAGCACCTTGAACAGCCCAGTTGAAATGTGATAATCCAAACTGATCATTTATCACTTTGCGGTAGGGAACACAGAAGGAAGTCCAGTGTGGGAGCTGCCTCTGCACGAGGTGGGCTGTTAGCACTTCAGACGCCTTGGGTTTGGATGACCTGAGGCCAAATACTTTGATTCCTCTCAATCTTGGTATCATCTACTATTGGACAAACATAATTTCAAGTCTCATTTTGAAACTCTGGAACAAAGAAAACAAAGGCAAATAATGCAAAATAAAAAACAAGTAATAATATACAAAATGTAAAATTTTAATGCACCACAACTTTGAAATCTAGCTATGAATGATCCAAAATTAGAGTAAAAGATTCCTAATCTGTCTCAAAAGAATAGGGTAATTTTCGGTCTGACAAAAATCCATCCGACCATTCTGAATAGTTTTCAGCGTGTCTGCTCCTGGCATTAAATAGAATATGTACAGAAAAGCCGTACGTGATTATACGAGAATGCTGGAAGCGTGTCATTTGGTTAAGCTGATTGCACTCAATTGAGGCTCCTCGCAGAATTGAATGGATCTATGTAGACCAATGGTGTCTTTGGAATGAGCTCAATTTTTTTTTCATTTCTGTTATATATATATTAGATAATATAATTTGTGCTGTCCTAAATTTTACCAAATACTAGTACATAATTCGTTGAATATGTAAATTACCTTCTATGTGTAAGTGAATTAATAGCTGTTGACGTATGCAAAAAATTCAACGGATTAAAATTATGATTTTAATGCGTTTGTCAACAGACAACATACTAAAATTTAAAATTAATTTGTGAAATTGGTGACAGCAACTCGACCACCGCACGGCAGCTTATAAATGCAATGCAGTTTATCAGTTGGGACAATTTATATTTTCTGCTTCGTTGAAATGTGTGTCCCTTTGAGCACTTGTAGAAACCTTAATGTTTTATGACAATGGACAAAAATACATAAAGAATCATTAACACTGCACTGTAGAATAACGTGCATCACTCACCTGCCCACACCACCGGATGTTATTAGGTCTCTACTGCATTATGGGAAAACTCAATCGGCAAAACTCGGGGGAATATTAATCACATTGAATATCTGCTTTTCAATATATTTCATGTAAGTCTACATAATCTTTTACTTGTAAAGTATGATTCAACCTGAAAATAAAGAAAACAGCACTTCTTTTGACCTGACCTTGACTTTTCATTGATGCTCGGTATCTCCACGTCACTCGTGTTGAGATGGAGGTTTAGTCAACATCTAAAAATAAACCATAGGAAGCTATTGGAAATACCTGAGAAAACGGCCTGCCACGTATTTATCAAAGTGTGTTTTTGTCCAGTTAAAAGATTGGAGGTGGACCGACAGGTATGTAAAATTGTCTGTGCATATTTTAATGTTGATGGTTGGTTTTAAATGCCAATTTAGCGCCAGGTTAAGACTAAAGTACTGTAAAAAATAAGCGGGCACTGTTGTTTCACCAAAATGGAGAAACAGGACATCAAAGACTTTTCCTGTATCCATTTTTTTACAATCACGGGAATGTGGAGAATGGTAACGTAAGACTAACTTGGTCGTGCATGTTTAATAGCTGCAGGCTTCGAATATGAATAAGTCACATGTCAGTGACAGCTGTCTGGAATCGTGACAAAACATATATGACAGCTAGTATATATACTAGGCACTTCATGATTAATGCAGCCATTTCAGTTACTATTCATTGGCGGTAGTGCATTATTTAGACCTATTGGTTAAAATTGGTTATACTCGTATCTTCCCATTTGTGTTTATATATATATATAAACCCCAGGCAAAGATAAACCAATTACAAATTCTGTTATGACAATACAACATGCGTTAACAACAAATATTGGAAAACAATGAAGTGACGTTTGCTATTTCAGTAACCTTCTGCACTGATAAATATGGGTATTATCTTTAATACAGAAGAGACTGATTATAAAGATCAGTGTTATATCTGCTGGTTTAGTGGCAACAGTTGATTATTAATCTACTAGCACGTAGCTACTTATCCCACATCCTGTTGAGTGCATAGAATATCTGCCTTGAAACTATTTCTGTTAGGTATTTCCTTTAGTAATTTAATATTTTTTCTTTGTCGATGGTTACTTCAATTTTTTATTAATAATAAAGCAATTTGTTGCCCTGACTTAGAGATTATGTTATATAAAGTTTATTTCATCACATTCTATTTTGACAATATAAATCTTTATAGTACCATTTCCTTACAGGGTTGAGCTAACTGAGATATTGTCCCAGCACCATGTCAGTTGACACACAGACATCAGATGTGCTGGACCTATTGTTTGACAAGCATGGGGGGATCATAGGGGGCGACCTAGAGGCACCTGCTTCTCTAGACTTTGTAAGTGACTTTAAGCTGGTTATTCAGTGACAACTCCTAATTGATTGTAATTATGCTCCATGCCAGGCAATGTTTGTTTTATTTTTTTAAGCTAAAAAGTTGGCTGATTTTAATTGTAATTTGCAATTTGAAGTCAAAAGATCAGTTAATTTTGAGTTAGTTAGAATTGTTTGACACTAAACACTTTTATTTGAGTTGCATAAAAAAACTAGTAGAAGTGGCTTGTGTGCTTTACTGGGAAACCATGCTTGATTCCAATGTATCTTTAACTTTTGTCTGTATTCCTCTTGTAATAATTCAGGATTTCATTATTTCAGAATGATTTGCAGAACTACACAGATGATTTTCTGACATACATGTTAGACCAGAGCCCCACAACTGACTTATCTACACCTCTGATTGACACAGCTTTAATTGGAAACAACCAGAACAACCAGGACCATGTGACACAGGACAGGACACAGACACGATCCCCGTCAACCAACAGTGACAGTGGGGTGTCAACAGATGTCCCTTCTCCACAGAGCACTGACCAGTCAGAGATGAGTCCTTACATTAACAACAGTTCTCCAGAGATGTACCAGAACCAGAGTTCTCCTGCACTGAGTGATGAACAAACCAGAGATGTTTTCTACAGTGGTGTCGAGCTGGATCATGATTACACATGTACTCCTCTGAATAACACGGGACTCGAGGACTATGACATTAAGGAATTAAATCTAGAAGGCATAGATACAGGCTGTCTGTTTGATAGCACCACAACAATGGAGTGTACAGATCCCATGGCTGCCACTAACATTGACATTGATTTGGGTAGGCAGGCTCTTCTATATCCGTTACATATTCAGTTCTAGGAAAGGAGGATTTTTATTCAGATATTCATGACATTTATGGATTAAATCTTTGTTTTGATGAGGAAGATTCACTTTCTTGTTCTCTGGATTGGTATTCATTGTGATTTTATATAGGTTACTCTTGATGGCATCCATCTTCATACTTCATTATTTTATGTTTTATATTTTGTCGAATATCTCTTCCAGATTTTGATGAAAATGAAGACTCTGAGTCCACACAGCATGTTAAAATAGTTCACATCCGTTCCCCCAGTAATGGTAGTAGCAGCAGTGAACTCCCCTTCACAGTGCAGGACTGTACCACTACCACTAGAACCAAGGTAATGAATACAGGATTCTTATTAAAGGGTCACATATTAAAACACCACAGTGTGGGTTTTGTGTTTTAGAGGTGTAGCACCAGGGAGGGGGGGGGGGGGGGGGGGTGGCTCGCTTATCTCCCTAGGGCTAGCTAGGAGTCTTACCTGGCTCTAGCATCTTGGGGGATTAGCCTGGTGTCATCAGGGAAGTTAATAAGTGATATATATGTCTCTAAATTAGGATTTGGCAAAAATTTATGTCCAAATAAAATTTAAAATTTAAAGATGTGGTTTATGTCACATCCCCTAGTCTTCCTGTCTGATGATTCTTTATTACATGCCATGGGCCTCAATAACAAAAAGTTAGGTACTTTAGGTTTAACCCACCCCCCACCCCCAACTGCCACTAGGATTTGAAATACAAGTGCTCTTGCTTTTGAATGCCACATTTTTTTTTCTGTTTCCAAATATTCTCTCTACCTCAAAATATTTTTCATGTCTGCAGTTCCCAGAAATCCAGCTAACAAGTGAAGAGAAGAAGCTGCTAGCCAGGGAAGGTGTCACATTACCCACACATCTGCCTCTGACCAAAGAAGAAGAAAGAGTTCTTAAAGCAGTGAGGAGGAAAATCAGGAACAAAGTAAGCTTGCTGACCCACACAGTGTATTGTCTGGCAAGTTACAGCTGTTGTCATAGTTCACTGCTTGGATGCCATGTGGTTTAATTCAATTTCCTTAGAAAAGGTGTAATTCAGGCATATGTTTAAGATACATTTTCAAGTAGTATATAGTGGGAGATATTTTAAAGAGACACATGACATATGTACTTAATATATTTATGGTATTGTGGTTGTAGGAGTCTGCAAAGAATAGTCGAAAGAAGAAACAGGAGTACACAGAAGGCCTTGAAAGCAGAGTAAAGGCATGCACTGTGCAAAACCAGCAATTGCAGAAGAAAGTTAAAACTCTGGAAAAACATAACTTGTAAGTTAATTTTTCAGTGCGATAGATGTATTTTTTACTATTTTAGTGGGAAGTAATTTGTAGAAATTTGATTGTTTTTACATTTGTGTCAAACAGTTAGATAATTGCTGGGGTAGCGCTAGCAATTTTTTTTGCTTAGTCAAATTACCACTTTTTTGTCAATTTGTTATGAAAATGGTTATAATTTGGCTAAAACAAGTCAAATCAAGCCCTTTTTCTTTAGCCAATTTAAGTCAGTTTTAGCATTTGGCTAAATTGGCCAGTGTTAGCGCTACCCCAGAATTGAATTAAGTGTTGTCATATAGAAGCTATATTTGATATATATTATAAATTTTTTGGTAGATCTCTACTCACTCAGTTGAAGAAACTTCAAGCAATGCTGAACTTAACAAACAAGCCTGCACAAACTAGCACCTGTGTCATGGTAAATATATGAATTATTGAATTTTGATAATCAAGATTGTTTTATATGTTTAATAGTACAAGACAAACAAAATATTTTCAGTATTGCTTTTAATGCTTCTGATAAGGATGACTTAATTGTTGTTTTGAAAATGAGAGAGACAGAAATCGGTATATGTTTTTTTTTCTCAGAAGTCGGATCTATTTCTTTGTTCTATATCAAAAATACTATTTTTCCTTTCCAGGTACTGGTCCTGTCATTTGCTTTCTTTATTCTGCCAAGTTTTAACCCGTTTGTCTCCCAGCAGGGTATGCAGAGGGAGAAGATCATCCCTATGGCAGGTAAGCAGGGGTTTCACACATAAACTTTGCCTGTACTGTGATTTCATAGAGTTGTTATAAGGTCATGTACAGATCTAACTTTGTACATTTTGTCAACATAAGTCTTGCACAGCCTATATATTGATGTTTGAATAGTGAATATTTAACTTGGTCTTTATGTAGAAAGGGCTTTTGATGCTGTGGAAATAATTTTCTGATTGTGCAAACATAGAAAGCTGTTTCAGGTGGTATCATGGGCTTATAAAGCACATTTTAAATAAAAATAAAATGTTAAATATTGGTAGAAACGGCTGAACACTAATTAACATCAATGAAAACATCTTTTAGGTCGCTCCAGAAGTTTGTTGACTATGGAGGACCTTGCCACGGACATCAGTGAGCCGTACGACCTGACCATCCGTCCCGGCCCCCCCTGGGAGGTCCCCCCTAAGACCCCTGTGATCCACTTACCTCCAGTACCCCAGCACCCTCTGCAGGTGAACATCACACCTGAGGACACTGTGAACCTGTCTGCAGCTGAATACCAGCCAGAAAGTGTGGAAAATCTGGTAGAACAGACCAAAAATATGTACTTAGACAAAGAAGGAAATCAGGACAAAGAGCTAATTGACCAATCACAGCCTGACTTAACAGAGACTGATATCGACAGCAGTTCTCATTTAAAACGAGTCTCAGATGAACATCCTGTTGAAAGGGGGAAGGACCTTTAAGTGAAAATAGAAAAATTGATGAATAGCAGGTCTAAAAACATCCTCCCTCTCATCTGAAGGATGTTCTTTGGTAAAAATATTCAGAATGCAATTTGGTTCATGAGACTTGTGGACTTTTTGGTACAAAATTCATTCATGGTGGCTACAAATACCTTAAGAGAGAACAGAGGGCATGACAACTGTGTTTTACTCTTTTTTTTTCAAAATGCATCTTAGATGTACATAGAATATATATTTTACCACGAGGATGACTGGTTTCGTCTCTATATATTTTGTGGTTTTGTAGCCTAAGCAGAGCATAAAACTATATTTGACGCAAAAGTTTGTGTAATAAACTTTTAACTAGCTCTTTAGAGTTCAGAACCCATGAATGGTAAATCATTTTTTGACAATAATTGCTGTGATATGAATGATTGCAATCCCAGAAATTGTCAGCTGTTGTGTATAATATGCTGTAGATTTTGTTACAGTGAATGTAAATCTGCTGTAAATATTGTAAATATATCTATATTGTCCAGTGATACCCTTTGTTATAGAAGGATGATGTCTTGAATAAATTAAAAGGAAAACAAGCATTGTTTATTTGTTACAGTAATTAAGTTGGGCAGAAAATGATCTGTCTAATAACATGTGCAAACAAAAATTTTGAGGTTTTCAAGAGATGAATAGATAGTCACTGGACCTTTGAACAATTTTTCAGTTATAAAAACTATACCAAAGAAAAAAATTTGCATGTATTCCTGTTTCTTCGTAGAAACTTGCTGATAAGTTTTGAACCAAAAACAACTATTCAGAGTCCAGTTCTTTGAAATATACTTTAAGGACTTTATTTTGTTATATAAATAAATGCTATCGCTTTCATTTACAATTAACAATGTCATGAAAAGCAAGAAAAATTATTTCTATTATTTCACTACAAGGCTTGCAAGTTAGGAAATATCACACCATCTTTGTACCAATTAACCTGTGATGACTAGAGGGTTTGAGTTCATTTCGTGTTTTTGTCAAAAATGATTTAAAACAGCCAGTTAAAAAAATATCAATTAGTCCTGCTGTGAACACATTTTTATACTTGAAAACCTGTAGCAATTCCCATTACAAAAATTCAATGTCTTTTTACACCATGGACTCTTGGTTTATTATGTGTATGTAATCTCTAGGATCAACTGCAGCAGTATTGGTATCGACACCAGCGACTGTTACATGTGCATCACTAGGCCTGTACACGGTCCCGGGGGTCCTAGGCAGAGAGCGTCGTACCCGTGAAATTCCAAAGTTTGCTGTATTTGAACCCCTCTGATTGGTAGCACTGTCCACTCTCATACTGGAGAACCTGTACAGAGGCCCCATGTTGACCGGGGGCACATGTTTAGACTTGGCCTGAAGTTGTTTTAATGCTTTTTGTCTTGCCTGAGAGGGCGGCCTATTGAAAGTGCTTTTAACATTTTTCACCTCCTCTGGCTTAGGTTTTGATTTTGAAATTTTTGACTTGGATTTTGCTTGACTGCTGGTGGTTACTTTATTTGTTTGAGACTCTGGGATTGGTATTTCAGGTGCGGGTTTTGCAGGTTTTAGAGTTTCCTGAACTGATTTGTGGGTTGCTGTGTGTGGTTGCATTACAGCTTCTGCGGTATCATATGCTGTAGTAGATGTAGAGAGTGTCTTTTCTGACATGTTTCCACCACTGCTTTGTGATTTTTGTTGTTTTTTCTTCTTAGTTCTTTTAGGCAAAACATTCGTGGTACTGTTGGGATTCATGTCACTCTCTTGATGAATTTCAGTTTCTTTAGATCCCTTGCTCTTTCTCTGTACATTTTTGTTAATTCCATTCGATTGTAGTCCTTCTTTGTTCATTATCATTTCACTATTAATATCTTCCTGATTTGTCTTATTATTAGTAACACTGTTAGTATCAGGATTTGTGATCGTATCTTGAGTAATTGCATCTGGTTGTGACAGGTTGTTCTCAACTGTCACATTCTGCAAACTGTCTTTGGATAAATTGCTTTTCTTCCTGAGTTTTTTACGTTTCTTCGGTGGGGTCCCCTTTGGATATTCTTTGGGAATGGATGCATCTGAGAAAAACTGTGTTAAAGATTCTATTGAAAATCTCCGAGACAGTCCTTTAGGCTTTTTTGAAACTTTTTCAAAGGTTTTTGACGTAACTGGCTCAGCATCTGAAAACTCTTGTGTTAGAGAATCAATAGATAATCTTCTACTCCTACGTTTCGGTTTCTTGGAAACTTTTTCAAATTTCTCTGGAGGAGACTTTGACACAGCGTCTGCACTATGAGGTCTGGGGCGTGGAGCTCCCACTTTTGCAACTTGTGCATTATCGACTTTGTTCATTGGGGATTCTTTGTCGATCTTAATCTGAGAGTTCAAGGAAGTTTTGCTCGATTTCTGGGTCAAAATCAAGTCTGTTATAGAGTTAGTGTAAGAACTGACATTAACATCCATTGAAGAGGGTGTCATATTAGATAATCTAGATATCGTACTTCTTGGGGCCGTATCCCCTTCAAACACTTTACTCCTAGGAGACCTGTAAGATGGTTTTTGTGAAGTTTGTTTGGCACTAGTAGCAGTCAGCCCTACGTCTAGCTGGGTGATTGCAGAGACTGGGGTTGATGGAGGTATCTTATGTGTAGTTTTGGTTTTAGATTTCAGCTTTGGCTTTTTATGTCTTGAGGCAGTTGACTGTGTAATGGTGCTTGGAGGGCTGTGGTAGCGGATACGAGGACATCTGTGCACGTACGGCTCTTGGCTCCCTTTGTGTTTCTGAGACAAGTCCACAGCCTCTCCCCCTGTCTTTGGCTGAGTTATCATAGTGGAGAATTTCACTGCATCAGTTGAGAAGTCTGTGTGATTGTGTTGGTGCTGGTAGTGGTGATGACCATGCCCAGTAACTGGCATGGTGGACATCCTCACATTGTCCATATGATGAAGATGCGCCAGTCTCTCTGCCCTCCGCCCCTCCACACGGTGTTTTTGTTTCTTCTGGAAACGTGAGGTGGCCTCTAGCCAATGCTGAATGGTGTCAAAGGGGGACATTTTACTGTCCTCGTCAGGAGGGTCAGTCATATTTTCCACTATGGGTCCACTGCCCACCATATCATGGGTTGGCCAGTTAAATCCACTGAATTCACTGAGGTAGGTATCTGTTGAGGTGACATCACTGGATGTCTCTGTCAGGGTCTCTCCGCATGTCTCACAGTGTATACTATAGTGTCCATCACGCTCACTGAGAAAAGATGTGGACTCAGATAACATTGCCTCAAAGTCATACATCCATGGTTGTTTTTTATTACTCAGTGGCTTAGTGTTAACATCAAAAGTCACCTGAGAAGTTGGAAGAGTCGATAACTGTTTACTTTTAGGTAAGTCAACCCTAGTGTTTTCTTCCGTGTTGTTCTTTGGGTCCGTTGCCATGGATACACTTTGAGCACTGAGTTCTAACGTGTGTGTATTACGACTATTTGATGACCCCTGCTCTGTACTGATGGAAAGTTCAGCATATCGGGTTTTCTGTTCTCCCACACCACCCCCCACAGCTGGCAAATCCTTGCTCTGGGGGATACTATCCTTTTCCAGTAAGTCGGGTTTTATTGTTTGATGCCTTGTGTATTGTTTGACTTGACTGACACTGTCAGCACTTGGGACTGGCGGGAGTTTGCGAAGTGGTTTTACTTCCACTGTATGACTCTGGAGTGGAAACTGAGCTGTCTGAGGCATTTGGAGTAAAGATTTTGCAGGGTTATTGGTATTTGTCAGATGTGCTTCATTCTCATCAGCACACCCTGGAAGTTTAAGCTGTTGTGCCTGCATTTCAAAGGCAAGATTCTCAAAACAGTGGGTATTTCTTTGTATATCCACATCATAAGCATCCCAGTGCATTTCATCAGTTATAATCTCAATATTCTTCAATTCAGCTGTTTTGCTTTTCCATGGACAACAGGCTTTGCATGCATTGAATGGCTGCCCATTGCGCCAGAAGAATTTATAATTGAATATCATAAATAAGACTCCAGTTATGTAAAACACAAACATGAGCGTGAGGGCAGTCACTTTGTATGCCTTCTGGTTGCTTTCATCTGTGTACCATATAGTGACCATTAGAATATTTTCCACCAGAATTGTGAGATAAAATGCACCAAACTTGTAATATTTTCTCCAGTCTTTTGCGTCCAGAAGATCATAAATCTGAACGCATGCTAAAAACCAGTCCCAAGTCCTCTCTTTCCATTTCTTTGGCTTGGCTTTGATGGAAATCACCTGCTGAATCTCGATCCAAATCAGCAGACACAGCCAGTGAGTTGCGAGAAATAAAAGTGTCCAGAATCGCAAAGCTGTTGTGAAAAGTATAATAGCCATAAACCTTGACATGAGGCAAAGCAAGTGCCATAGTCCTTGAACATGGAGGACAAAAACTTTGAAACACAGACTGGTTTTTGCATTCTGGTTAACTTTCTTTGAATTCTGTTCATCAGTGTCATCTGTCTCATGGTATAGCACCATACTGAAGGCAAGAGAGAGAAGAGACACGATTGCACTTGCAAAAAGGAAATTTGGCACGTCATTGAAGTCTTGCTCCAGAATCAAATAGCCCTGTATTATGAGATATGGGGCATTCTGGAGGGTCACCTGCACCAGGCGGAGAAGAACAAACTCCTCACAGTCCGCCTTTTCAAACACCACGAGTAATTTGAAGTATCTCCATAGTGTTCCTAGTTGTAGGACATGTAACAGTGCACACAGTGTCCGTCCGCACTGTTTGTCCCCGAACTCCATGGTCCTGAACACCCAGAGCAGAGAGAGCAGGTTGACCAGGAGAACGGGGATGAAGATCAAACACAGGATAGCTGTGCACCATGGTGTAAGCAGCCAGTAGTACCCTGCCGCACTCAGCTGCAGTGCTGTCTCTGTCACATGCAAAAGTATATGAATTGTCGGCACAACTCTTGTCATTTTGGAAACATTGTCCACATACTCAGGGTACAATAGTTGGCCATCTTCTTGTATTCTCTTCACAGCATTGAAATTTCAACTTGTTGAGCCCACTAAAGTTTAATTCCTTATGCTTGGCATCAAACCATAGCTGTATGACTATGCTGTTCCTGATCACAAAATACCTGGCGTTCTTGTGGACTTGTTTCTCTGTTATGTGGCTTGTGATATACAACCACGTATCAGCTTTAATCCCTTGATTCAACCTAGAAAAAGTTACAGATATTTTTGATAAATGTCTTACTGTCAAGGCTTGGCTTGCTACTTCTTTGTATGTGGAATTTACTTTATAAGCTGCTAGTTGAACTCTCAAAATACAGATGATGTTGAAAGTTTATCAGCCAGCCACAAAACCTACAAAATTCTTGGATACTAGATTTGTATACAATAAACAAACTCCTTGACATTCAATTGAAACCATGTCAATATTTTCCGAACTCCAAGCAAAGATTTGGATTTATAAGGTTTAATTTCGGTTAAGGTAAATCTACAAACTTTGTCAAAAACGATTTATCCTGAGTAAGTTTGACTGTGCTGCTCTTTCACCTTTAAGGGAAGTGACTGTTCGTTTTCAACAGGCTACACCTCACTTCAGGGTCATTGATGGAATGCATGTCCGTGATAGTGGTGAGGTAAAAAAGAAATGCTTTTAACCAGCTCTAGCAAACATGTGAAAGTAGCAATACTCCTAAATCGAACACAAATAAGACCTTTTAAGTTAATACCCACTCGATGTCAGACAAACGTTGAATCAACACTTTTCATTTGTGAGATATTATCCTACCCAAATGTATAGTGTGGGTCGGATTTCTGTTGAGCAAACATAGGGACAGATCGCAGTGAAAATACAGTACAAACCTACGCATTAATTACACCTTCTATGAAAACCTCTCAATTGGATTTAAGGTGTACAAAGGCAAATGTAGAATAACAGTAAGGTCAATCACAAATGGAATTTTTAATGTTTACCTTAATTTTTTAACACTGGTCCTCTCATTAGAGGAGCCTACATTATGGACTATGACGCAGGGGATTACTGTTATTTGGAACTTTAACTGATTAGGGTGTAGACTTGATTTTTATGTTTTGACTCTTGCATATTTGCCTTCTGTGGAATAACATTTGTAAAGTTTTTAGCAAGTTTACATTACCCTTATGATCTTACAGGGGCATTAAAATAATAACAAAAAACAGATCATGTCATGAAAATCCTAGTTGATCATACGACTAAAAAGACTGAAATTTGGTAACAATTTAACAGTCTAATAATTCAAATAAATAAATAAATAAATAAATAAATAAATAAATAAATACCCACCTTGGATTTGATTTTTAAAAGATTCTCACAATTGTTTATGGTGTAAAATGTCTTCAACTGCATCTACTGCATTTGTAAAAAACATCTTGGGCCGACTTGTTAAAAGCTGTAAAGTTAAAAAGGAGAAACATTAATTTTAAGAGTAATTTATCAACTTTTGAGACAGAAAGCTAAATCTTTCAGATTCTCAAAACTTTTCATTTATCAAAGTACAAACATTTTTACAGTTCCATTAAAATTGGGTTGTGAATAAAAAGAAACTTTTATCATGAGTCATTTTAGCAAAAAAATTGAAAGCAGGCTTATTCCGCATCATGAGCCCTGAAATAAAACTCCTAAATTAGGTCCATAGAGCAGTGTATACTATAAGTAAATATCATAAAGACTTTTATCAACAGGCTCTTGTTGCCTGAACAGAGAGCGTACGCCCTGGCCAGAAGCAATGAATGAATAAACTGGTTTTGATGCCATATTGTGGGATGTTAGTAGCTAATAAACATATATTTGCTGGGGCTAAGATTGCCAAGTATGGCTGGAATATCTTCTTTAAAATTTTTACGCCCAGTAATGCAAACAATAATGGTTCCAATAGGTTCAATTTCGCAAAGAAACCGCTTTTTATAAAACTGGTTTTCAGCTCATAATGGGTGTTTAATGAAATTATCCTTGAAAACTTATGTTGCATTTGATTGTGGCCTTTGTATGTGGAATTTATTCACAAAAGCTTTGTTTTGCCAACAATTCACAGCATGAAAGGAAAACATTTCTCTTACAATTTTGATCTTGATTTCATTTTCTTTGTTTTAAACAAATTTATTGTGGAACTGTACCACTAAACTTGTAATGAACTTTACTTAGGTAAAAACATTTTCTCCTGCCTATTCTGTTACGACTTGCCAAATTAATTAAAAATTTATTTGAGCTAGAGGATGAAAAATTGATCCTTGGTGGCTCCTAGATATCAGCTGAAATATTTGCTTACCCCAGAACTATATCTATGTATCTGTCTATTTACACATTTTATCTAACTAACATAGAACCTGTATAAAATTTAATTATATTCAATGTTTTGAGGTATTCTGCCGCAGTATTCCCACGGTGAGCATGTATTGGCACATGAATACAGTATGGTAATGACTCGGTCTTTTCAATGGGTAAAGATGATCAAACTTTCAGATACCTCATTTCAAAACCATAAAAATTATATTTTTGCCTAGCACTTGTGGTGCTTTAAATGCATATAATACAACTATAAGGTATTCTGCTTTTCAATTTTGTTGTAACACTCAATAGGATTGCTCTTATTTTAAGAAAATAAGACTTAAAAATACAGTATCTGTAAAATTCACAATTTTTCCCCATTGAAAAGATTGAGTCATTACCTTAATTTTCAATATAGTCACCCTCCAGATGCAATAATGTTCCTGTTTACTGATAAACTTCAAACAGAATAATAATGATAAATATTTACAGATAAAAAAAACTGAGAGTAAAAATAATTGATTTATTGAGGCAAAAGAATGCTTACATCATTCATGAAAAATCCTAAAAATCTCAAAAACTTCTTTTGTTTTCCAATTCCCTTTTTTAAAAAATCAACTTTTTAAAAAAGTTTGGTGAGACTGATCAAAATACAATTGAAATAATAAATTTGTATCTTTAATAAGAGACTTGCAAATGCACTCAAATAGTTATCAAACTTTCAGTAATATTGGATTTGACGTAAAAATGTACAAATCATATCCCTGACATTGTAAAATGACTGCATCACAAATATTCTGTCACAGATACTTCTGTATTAGTACTACTGTATTGATACCCGTGGCAGAACATTTGTGATTCCATTTTATCAAAAATTGCCACCTTTTTGACAAACATCAGCACAAATCACTGCCAGTCAATTTCAATTAGAAAAAACACCTACCAAGCAGATGCTAATATCCGGCTTGCATGCTGATGTCAGGACCTGCCTGGGTTCCCTGCACACTGATTCAATGAACCCTAACACCTCAATCAAAGATGTGTCAGCTATGTATGCACCTTATTTTTTTATACAAGTACATTACGGCTTACCTTACCGAAAATTACACACATAGCTATGTGCAGAAGACACAAACAGATTGGCTCCATATCCAATCCCTGTACACAGTGATTCACTATCTTTATCAGCACTCCTCAGTTGATTAACCTTCTCATACTACAATACAGACACGATTTAACATCTTTATTTACTTTCTAAATCAAACATACTTACATTTTATAATAACTATGGTAAAAATACCTTACTCATCAACAATCCCCCCCATGGTGAATCTGTGTGTAAACTTCAGTATCTAGAGCAAGCACTATGTGTCCTCCTATCTTATCTGTACTAGCTCGTCCTGTGATACCTGATGAGTATAATGGCTCCAGCTAAATCCTACTGTCACAATACCTGCAGACAGATAATATCCATGGACTCAATTACTATGCTGACTAATTAGGGAGGAAGAGTGATAATGTGTTTTTAGATCAAACCTACCGATAGACACTCTGATTGACATGTTGTGATAATTGTCCCCCTGATGTGAAATTCTTATCTCCTCATACATTCCTATAAAAACTTGTGATTTATGAAACAAACGATGGGCTACTGGTCTGACCCCAAGGTTCTATGAGAGCAACCTTAAGTAACTCAAGCGCAACTCTTCACACTCAGTACAAAAGTGGCGGGCACTTTCAAGTTTTCACCACCTAATACAAACTACACAAGTGTATAATCCTGGATAATTCTCTTTATGTGACAGAATTCACCGATGGCTCACCTTCAAATCTAGATCTAACTTAAATACCTGGATTATCTCACCACATACACCTGTACCATACCTGCTCATCAAAACACTAACTGCATGGCTCGCCATCAAAGGTAAAAATGTCCCATCTCGCTGCCCCTAATCAAATATTAGGCAGATTGCTTTGATAAGGCACACGTATACAGAGTTATTGTATGAGCGCCTTCAACGCCATTTTCCCCTTCATTGAAAGAGCCCTTTGCCCAACTTTTCCTTTCATTGTAACTCATGCATGTGGACATAATGTGCCATATATGTTCACTTTTGTAAGTTTGTTGAATGTTATCCAAATTCTTACATCTAAACCAACTTGTGCGAATTGTGTTTGAGTAAATTCCTATTTTCCTTGCAGTGAATTCCTTACAAAGCAATGACCGTACAGCAAAGTTTGAAAAGTATGTTATTTTCTCCAGGGCAAACTGAGAATTCAGTTTCAAGTGTGGTTCTTTCGTCCTTGCACAAGATTCTCTTGTGGACTTAATTGAAACTTTTAATTTCATACAATTTGAACAAAAAAATAGCGCATTACCAAACTTGACGTGTGAACCTTGGTTTAGGCAAACAGAATATATAGAGTTTGCTCCAGTGGTGTTGGGTAGCGTAATATGCAAGTGTTTACTGGGTGTGAAATTTAACACCACCCACAGGGAGACACTGCATGCCCCATAGAAAAAATAAGGCATTTTTTGGAGCAAGAAAAATTACATGGTAAAGTGGAGTTTTGGTTTTGTTAGCTCCAGTCTACTCCAGGCACAACAATTATCTGTGTTTGTCACCACAGTGGGTTGTGACATTTATGAGGCTTTTTATGCCCATCTGATTGCCCTTTTCAGCTAGGCTCAAGTCTCTTATGTGGGTAATATTTCACAGCATGTTAAAAGTGTCATAAAATTAACATTAAATCTACAAAGAAAAAAAAAAAACGAAACTCCTGAGCACATTCTAACAGGATAAAACAGCACCAACATTTTCAATTAGGACTATTATTTAAGATGTTGTCTGTCCTAAGTTATGTCACAGATTTTCAAAATCAATCAAGTTAAAGACAGTTTAAAATCCTTATAACTATTGGAAGAAAGTAGAAGAAATATATACTTATCTACCAAAAAGGATATGATAAAAAAAGAATTGTTTTTGTCGTTGTCTAAACAATTAAGCTGACAGAGACCCAGTTTCCACTAATTTGTAATTTTTTATTCAGCACATGTTAGTCTCCTTGTTTTATCTATACCTATGAAATGATAAATATTTTCAGATACACCTACAAAGTGGCAGGGGGATAAACTAACCACTGAGGATCACTGATAAACCTTATCTACTAACCACAAATTATATGGAGATTTCGTTTTTCAAATTGAGGAAATAGAAAACGGTAAAATCTCTTTCCTATTTGTTCAACTGAAACTAACCAACCACGGCACCACGATTTTTTTGTAATTATCTGCCACAGACATTGTAATTCTGTAAAGTCAAATATGGTTGTCATTTATGCTTGTTGCAGCTTGAACCTACATTTACAGTTTGTAATGATGTATTTTTTCATCATGTAAATTTACTGAAAGACTACAGTAGTGCAACAGCTTCCTATCCACCAGGCGCTACAATAACACAAATGTATGTAACACTTCATATATGGTATCACTTTCATTGACTGTGACAAAAATCCAATACTATTTTAATTTGTTAACTATTGGCTTTTCCCAATATAAGTTGTTTGGTTTCCTCTTCATCATTCTCTTTAGGCTATTGAGAACATTCTATGGTCCTGTTGACCAACCACAGGGCATCACAAACTGTTGGTGATTGTCGTCTGCTTGCAAACTGGTCGCTGTATTGACCAAGTATTGTTTCAGTGTTATCCCCTGCATGGTGCGTCACCTTTGGTGCAAGTTGATTGACCAGCTGACCATTGTCCTACCCAATGTCCTAATGTCCAAACTCTCAAAATCAACAAGTCAGGTGTGAGATCTACCTCAAAGGAAGTCTGACTTGACTCTGGTTTAAAACTTGACAATTGCCAGTATAAAAATTAAAAGAAACAATATCATTCACTCTATCCATGAAGTTTTTTTTACTAAAATTTAAAAAAAATGATATGACTTAGATTTCAAAATTATATGTTTGATTCAGACATATACAAGATGTAAGTTTTTTTTTCAATTTTGAAAAAAATGCTGATAATTACATCTGAAATATTTCAATGAACCATATACTTTTGCTTTCAAATAAAATTGTACATAAAATATTTGACAAACCCCTACCTTCTTGCACAAACAATATACATCTCCTATGAAATAATGTTTACTGAACCAATAAACTGCATTTGTGTTAAGTCACAAAAATACCACTTATAATACACTTGTTCCTTTTGCAAAGTGTCGAAAATGTTTCATGAAGTTTTGCATAATTCACGGCTGTTATGAACGCCCTCTGTTGTCATTACATAACCTCCTTCACAGCAGGAGAGTCGGTCAACAAGCCACTTCAAAGATTCTATAATACCACTTTTCCGCCAAATTTCCCTCACTGTGTATATCACCCACATCCCTCTGTTTCACTAACACAACATAATGTACTTCTTTCAACATTTAAGTCTGTGTCAAAACCACCATATATTCTCTCTCACCTGATTCTCAACATAAACCATGTGCCCTTGTCTGTTTGTTCTTTTAACAGTTGACCCCCTTCCCTCAAATGAGCCACCCTTCTATTATACCTACAATTATAGATATGGCATATCCAGATCAACTCACATTAAATATCCATGGCGGGACAGCTCGTGTAATTAACATCTTCGGATCTGGAAACGGGATACCTGAAATTTTCTCTGATAATCGTCTTGTTGATACCCTCAGCATTCTTTATCCTGGTCTGGGAACACATGTCAATACAGGGCAATGGAACTATGACATGGCACTGTGCCCCTATGTGGATTATCATGCCTGGATTAGGGATCACTTGTAATGAATTATTGACCAAGGAAAACAATGATCAATGTCAAATAAAGGTGTGAAGGGGCTGCAGTATTAGGAAAACATTATCCTTTGATACAAGGGCGGAATGATTTTTGAAAAAACTTATCTCAAATGGAGCAAAAAAGAGATCCAAATATCAGAAATTCCAAACTGAATGGATTCTATTAATTAAAACTATTTAATATCCTAGTTTGACCAACCCGGTAACTTTTACTGTCTTCTAACAGTGGTCATCATAATCAGTATGACCTTACAGGAGTTTCAGAATCTTTTATTGGCAGCTTCTCTGGATAACGTGTCAAACATCTCGTCTTTTATACCCAATTCTCTGTCTTGTGATATGTAAGCAGAAGTATATCTGATAAATGAAGTGCTAAAAAACACTGTACCCCCTAAGTATGGATAATTATAACAGGTGTTAGCAAGCATGCATCGATTTCCTATGCTACTACTATTGATTTGCGTAGGAGAACATGATGGGGAAAATTAAGCAAATGTTGAAAGCATGGGATTTAACTTGGTTAAACATCTATAAGCCGCAGTTTTTTTTTCTTTCTTTTTTTTTTTTGCCCTGATAATTCTAATTGTTTTAGAAAATACGTCTGACTGGCTCCCAATGTGATATGTCACTTAATTAATTTTGTACGTCTTAAAAATTATGCTTAGTAAAGAGTGCTTATTAAAAAGAAGAAACCTACATATAGATTAAATTTTTTGTTGCACAGCTGGTATTAATAAGGCACTTTTTGCTGTAATTAGGAGAGCTGTTACCAAAAGAAGGAAAATCTATGAGTCTTTGATCTCAGCTTAATGAGTCTGTCAAATGGCAAATAGAAAAAACTTCTCAGGTTTTATGTTAACAAATGAAACAACTTTACCTAAAAAGCTCCAATGTAAAAAAATTCAATTACTCATAATCGTAATCAGAAATCTTACCTTTGGTGAACTAGAAAACAAGACTGATGTTGACACTGTAGCTATTTGATGCTATAAATCAATGCAACATCTCAAAGATTTCTCAACTCTGCAAACAACATAAGCCAGTTGTAAATACTAGGTTAGTCAAATTAAATATTTCCTCAGCTAACGACAGGAAGACGGAAGATTGCCTAAATACACCCAATGTCACAGCATAGATAGCTACCAAGGTATAGCTCATCATAATCTGTCTATAGAACTTTAATTAAATCATTTAAGGCTGCTGGTGCCTCAAAGGCCGAGTAACAATGGACTTTTGTCATGTTCAGATTAAAGGCTTGGGATAGAGTATGATAAATTCCAGTTGTATTGGCTCAGTGGGGACATGCTGAGCGTTGTTGTTTATACCCTGTACAACTATTTCATCGACGGCATTACTATGTCAGGTATGCACACTTAAAATACGTATCATACTTTGTACTGGGTGTTTTCAATGTGTTACTTTATCATAGTGAATTTTCACTTGTTAGACTTCAGCTCTTAAAAGTAGTTTTATTAAAAATGTTCAAATATACTTATAGCAAATATAGCCCTTCCCCAGGTATTAGCACTGTTATTAAGATAATCTCAGTTTAAAAAGTACTGTTAAGTTTTAATGCATATTTCATGGCAAAAAATGTTTTCACCTGAAGCTAGGCTTTGGAGGCTGCAGGATTATTCTGTTTTTCACACAGTGTTTATTAAACTGAACTTACCTGTGAATTGGTAGCCTCAGGTCTGCTATTTTAATAATGGGGCACTTAGCTAACCTAGCTGAACTCTGGAATATTTACAATCCTTATTTGGCACATAATATATCTAAAAATTAGTTACACCTTTAATGGGAAATGCTGATGAATAAAAGAGTATGAAAATGACTATAAAAACTAAATAATTTTCTTTCTTTCACAATAAACCCTTTACAAAAGCCACTCTCTTCTTTCATAATTTATCTGAATAAAAATCAAACCAAAAAATAAAATTAAAAGTAGGAGACCTAAAAATTTTTCAATGAAAAATTGCATCTAAATAGAAGTAAGTCATTGGCAAATATGCAATTCCATTTAAGGTATTCAACTTTTGTTTGCAACACAACTTTTAGTGATGTTTGAGCTGAAATATATCTTCAAAACAGTCGATTCTCCTTTCCCGCAGCACACATACGGTGTCATACTACTATTCAAAGGCTTCCAGTAAAAATAGACTTTGTTAAATAAAAGATTCACAGCATTTAAATGACTTACTACAAACAATTATCACAAATACATAATTTGATGAAATTTGCATCAAAAAACTGAATTTCAGAATCAAACTTGATCTTGCATGTGCATAGAGTACTGCAGTTAAATCTGATTTTCCTTTATACCCGGCAGTTTCTAAAGTCAAAATCAAACTTACAACACATCAAAATCCTGAAATGTGTTCAGGTCTGTTAGCAAAGAAGATTACATCCAGAGTAAAATCCACAAGAGAAAAAGCATTCTGCAAGGTTGAAAAAAAATCTTTTTAAGCCCAAGTCATCAGTCTCTGGCATCCCACACTTCTGGAGAGGAAGGAATAAAGTGCAACTTGAAAACAATATGGCAGAAATGAAACGAGCCCCATTAGGCTACATGTTGCCTGTCTGTAGACTAACTCAGAACTGGTACAAGTTAAATATACAAAGCATTCTCAGTATTTGCCCTAAAAACTGCTGTCCTTTCAAGCTGAAAGAACACTACTGGTAAACTGAGGGCAGAAGTAAAGTCTTTGTGTAAACTTGGTGGTGAGGTCGAAACCAAAACAATCATCTGCAAGCGTCCCTGTCAACTAAGATGAAACCAGACAGGCTTGCTGCTCCTAAGGTAGTGTGTGATATACTGTAAAAGGCAGTATATTGCACGCAGCATCATTAAATCACAGAAACTGGTCCCCCTGTGAACCAATTTTGGTAAATCAATTCACTGAACTCAAGTTTTGTCAGCTGCCTGTTTCTGCCAACAAAGTCAAATTTCACTAAAATATCAAAGTCAAGCAATAAACCATGGTAATTGTCATTATCACATTAAAAAAAGAAAATCTGCCTTTATCGTAAATCTTACAGTCCGAATGCCACCAGTGACAGTTGCCTTTTTTATGTGCAGAAGCAAAAGGTTGACAACTGCACACAATGATTGGGTTAATTAACAAGAACCATCTGTAACCACAGGTAATTAATGAGGGTTAAAGTTATAGTTTGTACTTTTTGAAAAATAATTAAGATATTAATCATAACACTCTATACAAAGGTCGACATATTTTTAAAAAAAAAGATGATGTAACAAACATTCATAAATGCCATGTTTAAAAATAATGACAGTTTGCTAATAATGAAGCAAAGCTGTACGTGTCACATTTTCTATAATTCATATGTTTTTCTTAGAGAGAAGTATCCCTACTCAAGATCCCTATTCCAACATTATAAGCCTGCTTTTTTGCTAAAGAAAAAATATTTCATGAGACCCAAAAATGATATGCTCTGTTCAAGACCCAGCAATCAGGATATCAAGTAACATGATGATAGGAAGAGTTATAACCTTACTCATTCAGACCTGGTACAATGGGCTGCTTTGATTCTCAGCTTACATTTAACTACCATACTCTATGGCTATTGTCATCCTTGTCCTGGTGTCTGGATTTTTAATAATCATCTTCATACACAGTCTGCCGTATTGTCACACATAAAGGAAACAAGGAAATACAAACAATCTGTATGGAAAATATGCAATATGTATGTTTCCTGCTAGCAGAAAAATACTTCTACAAGCTTAAATTCAAGACCAAATATTTTCATTTTACAATGATGCAGTCTTCTTTAAAAAATTTAAACCAAAGGTTCCCAAAAACAGAAATACCAGTTTTGTTACTTTTACATTAAACAGAAAAAACAAGGTTTTTCCCAGTCAAGTTTACCATACTTGACAGAGACCATGCAATGGGTTAAATACCAAAGAACACAGAAACAACTTATTTAGGTTAAGTAGTGACAGGCCAAGAAACTTTGGGTGACATATGCCAAGAGCAGTTGTTACAGGACAAAACTGAAAATCTTCATCACATCTGTGGTGACATAAAGTTTTTGTTCTGTTTAAATGAGAGAGAGAGAGAGAGAGAGAGAGAGAGAGAGAAGGAGAGTCAATGAAAGATAACTTATCAACACATGCAAAAAAAATCCTCACCTTTTTGCAAGAATGTTCTTCAAGGGTAGATATCAGGTGTAAGTTGACCACCCTGTTTGTCCCACACAGGCAGGTGTAAACTCTCCAGGTAGATGTCACAATGAGGTCAGGGTTGGTATTTAAGTTGTGATAATGACAAGTTGAGATGACACTGGAAAATCAACAGTGTGCCTGGCAAAAATAGAAGCATAATTTATTTTACTTAGGTCAAAGCTTTATTATGACTAGGACAGATAAAAGAGAAGAGAAAGAAACAACATTTGCATGGTTATGCAGTGGAACTGACAGGCTTCATGACTTATAGCAATCTGGAAGTGACAATATGGAGTTAAACATTCATGCTTTGAGAAACTTATTAGTATTGAGCCTGAATGAAGGTCTTAAAACAAGCTGCTGTAAGTTTCTAATTTTGTAATTCACTTCAATTTATTTGTGAATTAAAAAGTCTAATTATTTTAATAGATTCTTTTATGTAACCACATCCCTGCTAGGGAAAAATTAATGTGTGGTGCAATATGTCTTTTTTCTTTAATTGGGTATTTATGCAAATGAACACTTGTTAAATGATCTAAAAGTATTCAACAGGTGAATTCTGGAAGAATGTTTACTTAAAAAAAATCAACTACATGAAAATTATAAATTCTGATCTCTCTCTATAATCAATAACAATAGAATACATTTGTGGTGTGTTATTTGACATGCACCGGGTGCTTCAAGTTGTTAGTAGTTGTTGATAGTCACCACATGAACCACAAAAAAAAAAAAAAAAAGAAAAAAAAAACATATTGCTGTTTAATACACTCTCCCCATGAGTGCTGCAACCCTCCACACCTAGCAAATGTGACATTAGTACCAATTATCATTAGCTTCTTCAGCGTTCAGGTAATGATGCCTTTTAGCAAATGCATAAATCTCATACTTAATTCTGCCAGTAGATGCATTTGAAAACTGCCCAAAGTCATTTTTTTTAAATGTCAACATACACAACAACACCTGCAAAGCTACTAAAATCTTTTCCAATTAAGATGCCTAAAATAAAAGTACCTGTTGTCTATGTGTCCTTATGAAATTTAGAACCTAGTTATGTAATTAGAAATGGCAAAAAATTCTGAATTCAGTTGCAGGGACAGGTCAAACAAAGATTAGTGAATAGCAGGAATAATTACTTTCTTCATTAGGAAAAATCCCATATAGAATACTTTTAAACCAATAAGACTAGGTTCATTAACAGGCTCATTAAAAGAAATGATACTCAATTATTTGAAAATAATTATGTTTATTCAGAAATTATTTCCAGTCTAGAACATTAACAAATCTTCTTGACAAAGAAAAATGTTAAAAAGCATGGACAATTTATTTCCTAGCAAAATCATCAACTTTATCATTCTTAGCTTCTCAGCAAAAGCAAAGTCTTACCTACCTCCAATTCATTGCTCTCTTCCCAGAGACACATGTATAAATACATCCAATACTTTCAATCTTGCCTTATTCAGTAAAATCCATCCTCTGTCTTCAGAACAGGCAGTGGCATTTTTTTCAGTCCTTTCTAAATTCAAATACATAGAATGAACCCTTTGATTGGACAACTTCTCCTGAACCATGTGCCAAAAGCTTAGCATGATACAATTTCTAAAATGTGCATTAAGATTATTTAATCGTCACATGTACCATATGGAAAAGTCATTAAAACTTACTATATTGCCTTCATCAACCAGCCATCACCCGAATCTGAGGTTACCGTGGCAACAGAAAACAGCAGAAATCACGGTTCAAGCATGGTAGTCTACCAGTCCTGTGTTCTGTCGGTCTCATGCAGTAGTTGGGCTGTGGAATCAGCCCGGGTTAGCTGCAGATTGCCATGGCAGAAGAGATTTAGACTGTTGCCTAGATACAGCCAGGTAGTCGTCTATAATCCACTTGGCTTTCCACTACACCTGCCAATCAGTCAGTGAGATAAGACAGGGGGCACTTCATTTGTCTTGAGAGCCCCTTCAATGCGAGGGAAGATAAAGGTTACGTATCTGGAACAACTTCACCTGCCCAAGCTGAGATTTTGTTGCTGTGAACAAAGTGGCAGATCTTTTCTTAGGTTCAGTTCTTGTACACATATCAAAGTTCAAAAAGTTGATTATTAGCAATTTGTATTTTATGACACAATTTGAAAAGGGAGAGCAACATTTTCAATCTTTTATTTATTTATTTTTTATTTTAGAAATGAGAGTGGTATATTAATGTATAATCACCTTGTAAGAAAATATATTTAAGTTTCAGGCAACAAATTTTAAACCTTTTGATAAAGGAGTTCAAAGAATGTAGTTCAATTTCATGCAGTGTGCGACACAGCAGACATTTAGAAGGTCATATTATGGCATTAGATGCAGCATGATTAAATTTATTAATGAAATATAACTCGAAAAGAAAGTGAGAGCTAATAATTATTTTTGGAAAAATTTGCTTCTTGGCAAATACTACGAACACGTTACACCGTATCACCACAGAAAAACAAGAAAGTTACAAGTTTTAATGAAATCAAACAAATTCAGCAAAAGAACCAACAACCCATGTCTTCAGTGTGGGATGGTAATTTTATTACACGATTATAACCCGCTAACAAAGATACTTCTCAGATATCTGGTATTTTTGTACTATAAAGTAGAGCTGCTTATTATTTCTAGTGCTCTGCTGCATGTAGTGATCACCCTGACGAGAATGATGGTGCTCTCACCATCTCAATAATTAACGATAAACAATACTTAACTATCACCTATCCTGAATGACATTGCAGCACAGAAGACTTGCTAAGTCACCATATTACAGAATACATACATACATACTTACAGTACACGTTCTGTAGAAATTCAGGGAATGTAATTACAACTTTCCAAGTGCTAGGAGATGAATATAATATACAAAAGCTACAATCTTTCAGCCAAGCTAAGCTGTGTGTAAGTTATATGAAATGTACATCTCCATAAATAGGCCATGCTGACCTAATTATCATACATATATACCTTACTTTGTTTGCTTATGTTAACTGGCACACCGAAAGCACCACTTTCAACAAATTAATCCCAGTCACCAGGTTGCTTTAAATACAAGAAATGTACATGATCTGTGCTAACCATGAAAGCTACAATGTAAAACATTTTTTCTTCCATTTATTGGGTAATAAACAAAGAACTTCTCAGAAGATGGGGTTTAAAACTGAAGCACTTTTTGACCCACTTACCAACTCAAATCAATTATGACCTTATTGGAGTATGCCAGCAAAAGTTCCCTTTATGATTCAGTAGTATCACAAAATAGTTGCTACTAATGTATACATGCATATTATTTTCTCATTACCAAAATAAGCGTGCTTGGGTCTATGGCTCCCATTTCTGTCCCGTGATGTGTCAAAAGTACAACTCTGATACAGAATTAGAATTACGAAAAGAGACCCTGATCCAGGCATCACACACTAGCCACATGGCTTGTCAAAAGGGAGCAATAAAACAGGCACTTATACAGAGACTACATAACAACATGTTGTACTAAATTTAATTGTTTCTTGAAAAGAAGGTTAAAGCATTAAGGACATCTCTTACTGAGAGGAAGACATGGATAAAGGGCAACATACAGACATCACGGAAATACTGGAGGATCATGGGAAGGCACCTGCTCTGCTTGGTACTTCTGATTGATTTTCACGACCCAAAATAAAGGAGCAGCTTACCACTTGCATATATCTTTCAGTTTCTTTCTAATTCTCAATGAGTACTTAAGTTTGCAGTGGTGATACAAGAAACAAGAACGCACTGCGTTGGTTCTCCATCTGCACTGAGTATTACAAGGTCAAGGTCAACAAAGATGAAGATATAAATTAACAGTACTGAACTGCTGTATACACAAAGGAAATACAGATAACCAAAACTCATATCATTTCACATTTCAGTGGATAACATTTAACAAAATTACCACAAACCAACACGTGGCTGACTTTGTTAAGGGTAGTATTTGCACACAGAGGCTGCAAAAAGATTGGAAACTAAGCAACTTGCACAGACTTTACTGGTTGACAACATTGCAGCATTTTAAAATTTTGCATGGTAACTGGGTTGATTATCCTCACCTTTTAGTTCATCCTGATGGAATTTGAACACCACATCATAATGAACTTAATATAACAGAGAACAGAAAAAAAATGTCTGTAATGGTCAACATCTGTGTCTCTACTACTCCATTAATAGGTAGAAAATTCTAGGTCTTGTCTTTCAGCATTCTGTGTTAAATGATGCCATCTCCTTTGAATGAGGGATTTATGCTTCACGTGAAGGTTCATGACTGCTTTCTCCCTACAGAACTCAAATCAACTGACCTGGGTGCCTTCACAGGTCAAGGTCAACATTGTATAAGGTCAAGGTCAATGTATGGAAGGTCACTGATAGAGAATTCTTTAATGAGTACCGATTGACCTCAAGTTTTCTCCTGATAAATTTCTGTTCCTGTGCCAGACCTGGTAAGGAGGACTATTTGGGTCGTAGAGTGTTTGGAGGTAACGTAGCTGCCCTCTGGACCGGGGTGCCTCCATGGCTTCCAGGACTTTGCACTAGTTTTGCATTTGAGCTGAAGGAAGAATATTGCTTGGCGTTTCTTGGCTGGGAGCTGAAAATAGAAAAGGGAAATAATGAATTAAAATCAGTTTTAATTCCTGTCTTAACAGTTAACATATTTAATAGTTATCTTAGTTCCTTGTTCATCCTGGTTAAGGCAAAGTTAATGCTGTAATATAGAGGAAAAACAGTATTTTGCGGTTTAGATATTTGTCATTGATGAGTACCATGTATGGTCACACCCATGTTTCAAACACAAAAGAGCATCTTTTTGATAGCTCCGATGATACCAATATAATCATCAATTATCAACAGCCATATCTGTATCAAAGTACAGGGATTAACTTAAACTAGTTCACTTGGTTAGAGACAATTTTCTCATGTCATATGTATTGTTTACTAACAATGAGCTACAAAAGTCTTCTTTATATTTACTACAAAGGTCTGCTATTTACTATGTATCTAAACAAGCTTTCAATCATCTTAAATGTAGCTACTGATCAGGAATAGCTTTTAAAAACTCCTAAATCATATTGCCTAAATAGTTTTTCAAAATCAGTTTTGTAAACCATGCAAGTCACATGAAAAAATCTACAGTTAACTCATTCAAAAGGCAAATATCATTCAACATATGAAATATTTAGAAAAACTCATCAAATCAAAATTTTTTTGAAATTATTTTCTTGGCAAAAAACATGCATTTGCTTCAAATAAAGATCAAGTTGTTTAACTTCGTCACATTGCTAAAAAGCTCTTCATGCATTACACCAAGCACTGTTCTTCATGCTGGGAACAAAATTAATTCTAAAAATAATTAAATACTTGGAGATTTTAGCAACAAACACAAATGCTGAAAACTTCTTCAACAACATCAACAAAAAAAGTTTCAAAAATATAATACAACACGCAGGAAAATGGATGTACCATTTGTGCTGCTATAAAAATACAACATGGAAATGAAAAACAAATCACTTTCAGACAAAGTGATAACAACATCAATTTGGCAATGTATCCAGTCTACAACAGCTCCAGAAAAAATCCTTTCTAGGAAGTATAAAAGTCCCAACAACATCAGAGAAAAGTGAAGCTACAAAGCTGAAGCATATAGTCATCACCATCAATATCATCAACATGAGAACTGTGTGCGCTAACAAAGAATTGTACATCATACAAAAATGTAGATGGCAGCAGTGGCAAAGAAAGGATCACCAGTCACAAGGAAGGTGCCTTAACAATACAGATAAGCTGATGTGTAGTAGGCAAAGAGAAGTTTTTGCTGAGGAACAATCAAACAACTGACCTCTGTTAATTGATCTCCTAGGAAGTAAAGAAGCATGGAATGAGAATGGAGGGGCACTTATTTCATTAACGAAAGAAACTTTTTATCATTTTTACAGTATTCCATAACCATGCGTTTTGGTTGCTTTTGAACAACAGACCATCTTATATTGAACAAACATAATTAGTGGTTTAATGGGTTTAAATAACACCAAAATATTCTTTTTCATGAACACTAAATAAGTGTTAGTGTTGCACCTTACATGGTCACGAGTTCACTTTTCAGCTTGCTCTTTCCTGCAATAAAACTGAATCATCACACAGGAACAAAAAATTCCCTCTCTGCGCAAGGGCATGCTTTATTTCAAAGGTGGTCAGATTGGTTTAATGAACCAGGCTATTTCCTATACACATTTGAAATGATTTAAGTATTTAAGTCTAGATTGGACAAAATATATGAGAGAAACTAGACAACAAGCTCTGCAGTGTATAATGTCACAGGCACATATTATTCTGCCATTAATTTGGACATGGGTGTCTGAGACAACTAGCACCCCCTCTAGGCCTACCTCTGTCCAGGATGGTGCCCTATCCCCTTCTTATCAATCTTCTTTTTTATTCTCTGAACCCACAGTTTCTGTTCATCCTGTGTGGCTGCCAATAGCAAGAGGTCCTTGGCACTCTGCATACCGTCATTTACTGAACAAACAGAGAAACACCACTCAATATCTGCCTTTATCAATTACTAATATTATACTATATGATAGTAATATCTAATCGACACAAGTATTGGTCTAACAGGAAAAACTGTGATATTTCAATTAAACAACTTTTTTTTACATCAACATATTACATGTTTGTCTACCGTACATAAACTATATCCTTCAACCAAGTTCTTACCTTTACATGGTCCAATGAATTCCTCCCCTTTGTCAAAGTGATCTTTGTGGACTTTACACCTGCATCCTGGGGAATAAAAAAGGCACATGGAAAGAATTTCCATCTCATTGTCATAATATCTTTACTTAAGTAAGCAATTTTGCTTTAAAAATGTATAAATAAGCCACCTTGCTTGAAACAATTTCTGGCTTGAAATTTCACATATTTTAACATAGACTGAATTCAATTTTTGATCAAAATGGCTTTTGAAATGATCATGGGTTAAAAAAATTATTGTACATGATACTATGAAATATCCACAAAAACTTAAATACATGTCATGCAGCAATCTCTCTCTCTCTCTCTCTCTCTCTCTCTCTCTC